GAGAAGTGGGTCTCCATGGTCAGAACACAGAGCAGGGAGCAGGGGGAGGCAGGTCCCCATGGTCAGGACACAGAGCAGGGAGCAGGGGGAGGCAGGTCCCCATGGTCAGGACACAGAGCAGGGAGCAGGGGGAGGAAGGTCCCCATGGTCAGGGCACAGAGCAGGGAGCAGGGGGAGGCAGATCTGCGTGGTCAGGGCACAGACAGAGCGGGGAGCAGGGGGAGGCTGGTCCCCATGGCCAGGGCACAGAGCAGGGAGCAGGGGGAAGTGGGTCCCCATGGTCAGGACACAGAGCAGGGAGCAGGGGAGGTGGGTCCCCATGGTCAGGACACAGAGCAGGGAGCAGGGGAGGTGGGTCCCCATGGTCAGGGCACAGAGTGGGGAGCAGGAGGAGGTGGGAGATGAAGAGGCATACAGGTCAGAGGCCCGGCTCTGGGGTCGGATGGGCCTGGGGCCCGAGACAGGGATCCTCATCTAGGGAGTCGGGTGACGAGCTGGCTGCCCCCCAGAGCGGCCGTGAAGACTGAAGGAGGTAGTGTTGCCGACACCCTGACCGCATGGGCGGCCCCATCTGTCCGTCCGTTTGTTCGTCCATCCGTCCATGCATCCTTCAGGCCAGCAGGAAGCACCCCAGCCCCCTCGTGGCTTGGGCGTGCGTTTACAATCAGGAACAAAAGTCCGACACAAACATGTGGGCCTGTTCAGGACCGAGCCCGTCCCACGCTGGTGTGTGCAGCAGGGAGGCTGCAGATGCTGCCCAGGCCCGGTCCCTGCAGCATGGCAGGACTCTGAATCCCAGGGGCCCACCCAGGCTTCATTGTGGGGGGTCCCGAGGTCACGGCTGGTCTGCTCCTCTGCTCTGGGCGTGGGCCCTCAACTTACTTGTTCATCCGAACCTCCTGAAGCGAAGTACTCCCCCGTCCTGGAGAAGGCTGCTGCCGTGGCCGGTCCCTACAGGACAAAGGCCACAGATCACTCTCGTAACAACCGGAGGCCATCCCCAGCTCCCGGCCGGAGGGGAGCAGCCACAGGCTAAGCCAAGACCCTCACCCGCCCACAGCCCGGAGCCTCCAGCTCAGGGCAAGGCCCAAGCAACACTAAGGAGACGAGCCCCGGCTGGGGGTCAGGGGTGGGCGGTGATGAGTCCATGCTGGTGTACGTCTCCCCCCAGGCCACAGTGCGGGGCCAGGGCACCAGTCCCAGGGCCAGAGCCAGAGCACCACCCTGCTATGCAGGGTACGGTCTGGAAGAGATGGAGGTGCTCAGGCAGCCCTGAGGTTGAAGGTCAGCCGGGGCCCTGCCGTGCCTGCACCCTCTCCACAGTGCAGCCCACCCTGCCCTTGCCCGGGCTCCAGGGACAGGCCTCCCATCAGGGGGGTCTGCGTAGCGCGTGCGGGGCACTCGTCCCAGGAAACCCCACTCCAGCTGGAGGCTGGAAGAGGGGCCCCAGGGAAGCTCAGGCACACTGGGCGGGGTGGAGCGCCTCCCCTCTTCTGGAATGCCCCCAGCTCCCACTCTAACCCACTTCCTCCTCGGTCATTTACCCTCCTCCCTGGTGGGGCTCTCTCTTGGGAGGCCTGGTGGTGCAGTGGTTACAAGTTGGGCTGCATCCGCACCGTCAATGGGCGGAAGACAGGGGTTCCTATTCTGTCAACAGTGCCGGCCTCGGAAGCTGGGGGTGGGGGTGGGTGCTGCTGTGAGCCGGCACTGACCCCATGGCGGTGGGTCTGATTTGATTTGATTTTGGGGGGTGGCGCTGTCAGGGAAGCACTGAGGTTCAAACCCACCCACAGCTCCACAGGGCCGAGGTGAACCGCCCCAGTAGAGTTTGCAGTCTAGGAAAGCCCGATGGGTGGCGTCGGGCGGGCCTGCTTTGTGTGTGTTTGAGAGAGACAGGTTCAACCCGGGGGAGGCTGGCCCCACACAGGGAGGCACGGGGGCTGAGGGCCCCCCCGGAGGGCCCAGCACTCCTCATCCGCCCCCAAGAACAACGCCCACCCAACCACGTCTGCGGGCCGTGGGAGGGGTGGGATGGCCAGCCCTCCGACACCCTTCCAGCAGCAGCCTGCAAAGAGTTAACAGGATTTACCGTTGGGGAGGGAGGGGGGGCACCAGGCATGTCAGGAAACCTTTACTTAATTCTTTGAGATCTCTGTAATTTTCCATTCTTTTAAACAATGACAACAAGACACTGCCACATTGGTATAAAAATAAAACCGCAAACCTCTTTCCACTTTCAGGAAAAGTGAGGGGGGGGGGGCAGGCTCTGGGCAGCGGCGGGTCTCCAGGAAGTCACAGCAAGACTGTGGGTCACACTCCTCTCCTGTCACCACTCACCGCCAGACGCCAACAGGGTGCTGGCGGCAGGGCCAGGGCCATGCCCCAGCGAGCACTCGGAGCCCCCTGGC